CAGTTCCACTGCAATAACACCATGTTCTGTTTTATAGATTTGTGGGGATGTTAAGGCCAAATGCATGGTTTGGAAGAGGGGTTTGGGATTGATTTAGCTTATTATTTGAGAGCTTTTATGGCAGTTTGGAAGTGTTGATATGGTTTTTGGTATAGGTTAGACACCAAGGCTAAGTTGTGGATTTTTTTTGGGGGTGGGGTTTTTGATAAGGAGAGCTGCTGACAGGAATTCTATGATCTTGTTTGTATTGGAATGTAGTTTTTGTGGAGTGATTGGTTTGGGTGTAGTTGACCTGAGTGATTGTATTTTCTGAGCAAGTAGTGTTTTTTTAGATAAATGTGCTTTGGCTTTGTGTGTTTTGGATTGGATTTGTAGTTGGGTGGCTAGGATTGGTATGGCAGATCTGAAGAGTGTGTGAAGGGGGGTCTGGTTGGGTTGGGAGATGGATTGGGGGGGGGGGGGGGTAGGATGGACGGGGGGGTGCAGCATAGTCGGGGGGTGGGTAGGGGTAGGAAGCAGGGGGGTGGTGGCCTTGGGTAGGGTCATGTGTGTTGTGGGTGGGGGTACTGCTGGAGGGGGGCATGCTTGAGTTGAGTTGTCTGTGTGGGGTGGGACAGTGTTTACTACTAGAGGAGGGCCTGGGGGGTTGGGACTGGAGTGGTAAAGAGTTGTTTACGTTTGGACTGGGTGGACCGGGTCTGGGTGGGGTAGTGATGTGGAGGATGATGTGTCTGAACTTTCTTCATAATCTGGAAGGCTATTGTATGTTTGTAATAGTCTGGCCGGTTTGGGTAGGTGTTCCTGTTTGATGTGTTTGTTTAGCCGGAGGATGTGTTGTTGTTTAATTGGGCAAGTATTTTGTGTGGCTGTATGACCTTCGGCATCACACTGTATACAGTAGGCCGCCCATGTGCACTCTGGGGTTTCATGCCTGACCGGCCCACATTTCTGGCACATGGGCGGATGTAAAGTGGGTTATCCGCCTGTTTTTTTATACTGTGTCTGTATCATCCATGACACGTGACAGAGTTTCTCCAGTTGATAATTACACCAGTAATTGTCTTCGTATCGCCTGGTTTAGGGATTAATATTAGCTTGTCTGCTTGAATGGAGGATTAAAAAACACAGCGAGTGAAATGTGTCAAGTAAGTCGTCTGAGCGATGTCAAAAGGATTAGTTATCAAAGCATGTGCTTCCTTTGAAACTGTTTGCCTTTGAATAAGAACTGCTCTATCCGGAATCTTTAAGAACAATAAAAGTGCTTTTTGTTTTTCAAAAATCTTCAGAGTAGTTACAAGAATCAAGAAGATGAGGCCAACATAATATACAACTTATGTGCATGGGTATTTTAAAAAGTTCACCTGAATACAGTTTGCCCTTTCCTGGACTCCGACAATAACAGTGCTTTTTGAATTTCAAAAATCTTAGTTACAAGGCGGGTTACAATCATAAAGCCACATAATATACAATTTATGTGTATGGGTATTCTCAAAAGTTCACCTGAATGCCGTTTGAACTTCCCAAGGCTAATACACCGCACCACTCCGAGAGCAGTTGAAAGAGAGAACCTACTACTGCTGTACAAACCTAGGCCTACGAGAAGGAATGAGGAACAAAATAGCATTCAACTTGGGAAACAATAACAATGCGTTTTGATTTAAAGAAAGCTATAGATTAGTTATAGAAAAGGCCACATGGTGGGTTATAGTTATAGGAATCAACCAGGAAGATAAGACCAACATAATATTCAATTTATGTTTCTGAGAGGTTCCATGTAGTTTGCTCTTTCCTACCACTGCCATGAATAGTAGGCCAAAAGACGGTTCCTGTGAAAGGGTATTTGGAAAAGCTCACCTCAAAGCATTCAGACCTTGCCTGGGCTAACACACGGGTTATCCGCCTGTTTTTTATACTGTGTCTGTATCATCCATGACACGTGACAGAGTTTCTCCAGTTGATAATTACACCAGTAATTGTCTTCGTATCGCCTGGTTTATATTTATCTGATATCTATGTATATCATATGCAAGTATATTTCATTTATGTAGATTGGAGTTGGATGTTAAACCTTCATCTGTAGTTCCAGGGCATGTATCAGAAGGCAACGCTATAAAATGACATTAATTATTATCTATTCCCATAATCGTATACAGAACACCCAGACATGTCAGTTAGTTTACCTAACACCTAACAGTGAGTGAGTGAGTTTGGTTTAACGCCGCTTTTAACAGTATTCCAGTTATATCGCGGCGTGTCAGCTTAATGTGGGAGGAAAGCCCGAAGTGATGCAGGTCTCGGACGTTTACCACTTCGGTGAAACCCACGAGCACGGGTATGGTGCTGACAAACCTAGAAACATAATCGGGGCGAACCGGGATTCGAACCAACAATCATAGGTTTCTGGCGTGCCCAAGGGACGCAACTCTGCACATCGCCTGAGACGACTGGGCCACCCGTGCCCCCCGCGGAAATTAGAACGGCACGTATTGATCAATCTTGTACACAGCAAAAAACTTGTTACATCAGATTAGCGTAGCTTGGTGTTCCTTTTATGCGCCTACAGGTCAAACGGAAGTCAAACTACTGACATAAAATAACACAATGTTTTATCATTTTTCAATGTATTGACAAAGGACATCAACGTATGATAAAGTGTACATTGTGATTATTTGCATAACAATATGTTGATGATAGTATGGATATATGAATTAGGAAACACTACATAGCGACAGAGTGTATCCGGAAAATATAACTTTCAGAACATATATTGTCCAAGCTCAACGATACCACAGGGCACACGGGTGGCCAAGTCGCTTCTGAATTCAGCGTGTAGAGTTGCATTTCCTTAGTCGTGCATGGGTCCGCTGATCGTGGGTTCGAATCCCAGTTTCGAAGACCTGTTACTCTGTTAGCTATGGAATACTGAAAGGGACATTCTCGCGATCTCGCATTCTCGTGTTTTTGGTACATAGCACTTTTTGTCAAAAGTCGGCATCGCGAGAATGCGACATTTAGACATGATGCAAAATCTCGCAATCTCGCAATCTCGACCTTTTGGTCAAGTGTCGCGACCTCGCTTTCTTGCGTTCTTGAACATAGTCACATATAACTGTATAGGCAATTAGCACTAAAGCACGAGAACGCGAGATCGCGACACTTGACCAATGTCGCGATCTCGCGTTCTCGTGCTTTTGTGTCAATTGCCCATACCGTTATATGTAAATATTTTCAAAAACACGACAACGCGAGATCGCGACACCTGAATAATGTCGCGATCTCGCGATCTAGCGTTTTCCTGCCAATTACCTACACTGTCATTGTGTGGCTCAATCGTCTGAAGCGTCGTAGTTCGCTGTGTAGAGGTGCGTCCCTTGGACGTGCCAGAAACCTATGATGGTGGGTTTCGTCCCATTTTAAACTGACAAGCCGGGATATAACTGAAATATAAATACTGTTCAAAGTGGTGTTTAGCCGGTCCCTCAGGCTGTGTATTGGGGTACATTTCCAGTATAAGCTTGCCTAACATGTCGATGCTAAGGCCGAAATAAATTAATAAAATCAGTTTAACTGATTTTTTAAAAACATGGGAGAAGGGAGGCATTTTATTTTTAACATTTTATTTGTTAGTATCGAACTATTTAAGGCATCTGTGTACAATTGTTGTCGAAGGGTGCGATTCACATGCATTATGCGTGTTCAGTGGGGCTACGTGTTTGGAGTATTTCATCAGGTAAAGAAAGCAGGAACACTCATACATGTATTAGCGATATTTCTTTCTAGGAACTTGGGGCAATAATATAAAGGTAACGCTGGGCATTATCATTTGACGAAGGAAGACAGTTGGAGAGACCAAGGGCTTCTGCAAATGATAATGCCCTGAAAAATAGCGTTACTGTGATTATAGCTCAAATGGATAGCATTTGTTATCAAATAAAATTAACAACAATATCGGTTTTGAAACATTTACTGCAATCAACACACAACGAATGTCACTGACAAATATGGAAACGTCAAGGAACAAACCAGATGATGTCACTATTGAACGTCATATGACGTCAACTAACAACGGGCGTGATAATGGCCCGACGTCAAGCAATATGAGGACGTTATCAAGTTATATAAGATAGCTACGCGATAAATCGCAAAGAACAATGAAGAACGAAGCGTGGTTTATTTCACGATAAAACATATTTCTATCATGACGTCATTTCTGAGGATTCGAACATGCGCTCGCAACTTGATGGGCTGTATGTGAGAGGACCAGTTTTACTATTAAATGTCTCCTTTGATAGCAAATTTAATTCAAAAGAAAATGAACTAGATTAATTTACGATAGTACGGAAATCCCAGGATTGTTATTAGTGGATTGGGATTTCATTCAAGAAGCGTAGACTTTTTTAACTTTGGACCTTAAGTTATGCCCTGGATAACAACCTTCTATCACGCTATAAAATCTAGTGTTTTAGTAAAAGGTGTTGCTTCAGATCTTTTTAAAAGTAACATGAGGATGTAGACAAGGTGATCCTTTATCTATTTATATATTCTTGTTATTCTTGAATTTTGGCAATCAGCGATGTTTCCTATATTGTGTTACAAGTACGGCTTGTTGTTCAGCATTCAGCAATGTTTCCTACATAGTGTTATAAATACGTCTAGTTGTTCAGCAATCAGCGATGTTTCCTACATAGTGTTATAAATACGTCTAGTTGTTCAGCATTCAGCAATGTTTCCTACATAGTGTTATAAATACGTCTAGTTGTTCAGCAATCAGCGATGTTTCCTATATTGTGTTATAAGTATGTCTAGTTGTTCAAAACTCAGCATATTTTCTATATAGTGTTATCAGTGCGTCTAGTTGTTCAAACATCAGCAAGTTTCCAATAGCATGCAATATCCACGTCTAGGTGTTTAGCAAAAGGCAATGTTTCCTATATTATTTTATTAGTGCGTCCAGTTGTTCAACAATCAGCAAATGTTTTCCGATATTCGTGGGTTCGGGGCTATGAAATGATGGATATTTACCGTTTATCAATCGGCAATTACATACAGACAATGATAAATAGAACCAATAAACCACCACATCCTTGTCGGGCGTCAAACACATGTCGCCGCTAGTATGTATTCTCGCCTGCCCAGTTCATGGCTTTCAGCAACGGCGACAAACCCATTAATCACAACTGATAAGGCCTGTATATCTGTGAAACCCATTTACCCTTTACCAGTATGTATGAAGTCCATTTACTTGCAACATAAAAGACCAAATCAGCAATATAGGACAGGTGTGAAAATGAATTATGTGCTGGTGTCAAACCCAAGCATTCAGATCATACTAAAACCCATTTGTGTTCGGAGCATGACATAGCGAGCGCTCGGCACTGGACATCATGGCAGCCGCGCGCTAGGAACCCTGGTCCTTTTTGTGACTGTTCTCTCTTCAACCCACAGCTGGTTCATCAGAAGCGTCCACGATACAAAGAAGTAAGTTTCTTCAGGGGCATTCACACGGTACAACTTGTTGACGATGTATAATTAGTTGTATCGTGCTAATTCACCTTACAGCCTTATGAGATATGTTGTAATATATATTTGTAAGAGATAATAGTTACTAGTTATAGTTGAATGATAATAATGAACAGAGTGGGAACACATTACAACCGGTAGTGAAGCATGACATGCAGTAGACTGCCAACGATCTTGAAGGACGATAGGGGTACGATGGGAGATTTCAAAGTTGACGTTTTTGGGATCAGTAGTGTGTAATCCGGCTACGATTTGTCAAACATTAACTTTTTATATGATATATACTAAATATATATATATATTTAGTATATATACAGAATTTCCAGAGCTGTGTCGGGCATTACCGAACAGCTGCCACTGTATTCCGCCTAATTTGTGCTATGTTTCATAACATGAAACAATAATTAATACATACAAGGAACCTTTCAATTGTGAATCATATTCACAGGCAAGGAAGAGTAAATGTCGTGCAGCAAACCTGTTGGAGATAGGTATTTATCATCGTCAACTTTATACATATTTTGCTCTTGTCAGCTCCGCCTACGACCCGTGTCGGGTTATTCCGAACACTCTTATCGGGTTATTCCGAACTCTCTTATCGGGCTATTCCGAACACTGAGGTTTCAAGTGTTAAATTTAGCGCATCCCCCTTTTGGATCGTTCCGTCATTGCCAGCTACATTTCACCAGACACTTCCCTCTCAAAATTAACTTCGACCAATTTACGACGTCATCAAGTTGCGAGCGTATGTTCTAATCTCTAGAAATGACGTCATGATAGAACAATGGTTTAAAACATATCAACCACGCTTCGTTCTTCATTGTCCTTTGCGATTTATCGCGTTGCTATCTTTCATGAATTGGCAGTGAAGAGATAACCATTTTAACACATTGTGTAATAATACAGCGCGTGCTTATGACCCGTGAAGATCTGGGGTAGAATAGGTCAATAGCTATAGGTTGCTAGGCTGACGTCATATGGCATTGTTTCGCCGGTGGGTCTTGCCAAAAAATTCCAAAAACTACGTCATAGTGTATTGTCTCTCGTCGGATACCAGAACTATTCACTAGTTTCATAAAATTGATATTACACGGGAGCTCGTTTAGTATTCCCCCTTTTGGATCGTTCCGTCGTTGGCCAGCTACATTTCACCAGACACTTCCCTCTCAAAATTAACTTCGACCAATTTACGACACACACAGACACCCACACGCGCACGCACACAGACAGACAGACACATACACGCGCACACACACACGGGCACACACAGAAAGACAGACACACGGACACACACGCAGACACGCACACACATTGACACACGCGCGCACACACACAGACACATATACATAAACGCTTGCAACACCGAATTTACTGTCAGGTGAGCGCTGCATAAAACCACGGTGCAATATGTAGTAACGTTGCGATCACTATATGGGGTCGCCCATTTTGCAATGTTCTCTCCATTTGTATCAGAAACACATCTGCAACTTGCAATATGTCTGAAATAATTTGTCAACGGAGTTAGGGCGATAGGAGCGCACTTCCTAACACTCATGGTGCCTGGCCGTCAGCTGGCTTTGCATACCGCTGTGCCCAACTGGAAGGACGTCGCGGTTTCAAAAACGTATACATTGTATCACATGTGTTACACCATTCTAATTTATGCGCACAGTGAAACCAAATTGAAAAACATGCAACTTGAGTCGATTGTCTTTCCAACAGTATCTCTGCAGCAAATCCAAAAGATAAATGCACCGCCCTGCTGTCGGTAAACCTACTGATATTGTAAGTTTACTACTTTTCTACATTAATCGTACTATGGCAGCACCAGAATGTGTTAAATAAAACAAACAAACAAACCAATCCTCAGTGATAGAAACAACTTCGGGGTGAAATGACATCGGAAAGTTTCAAAGGAAAATAAATAAATAATGGTGATCGCTCAATATCGGACATCATTATTATTTTTAAATAATTAATAAGATTATACTAACGTACTATTACCCAGGAATAAGTACACGTAGATTTGGTCAATAGCGTTGAAATGTTTTCATTGGTAGAAAATCTATTCTACAAACCTATTTTCGATCACTCGTAACTCGGTTGCCATGCGATTCAAGAACCGCTTCGTTTTGAAATCACCCAGACCACTTATACTTCCGAGGTGTTGTAAATGATTTGAATATAAGTCATGAGAAAGATTGAAACATTAAATTATCGGACACTTGATAGTTGAGTTTATAAGCTAAAGAAGTGTAAAGTGGGCTATGTTTCATACAAGGAAACTACCATTCGCTTGTGAAAGAAGGCAATATCATTGCTTTAAGAGTACAATTATAAATAATATCTAGATTAAATGAAAGAGAAAAATACGAAAATGTGAAATACTAAAAAAGTTTAATGTATCTACCTATTATAACTTGTATTATAACCTTTTTCGAAATACACACAAAAATGCATTCACTTTGATCTTAGCCAAAATTTTATTTTTACAAATTCAATTTTAAAATAGATGACAAAAAATATAGTATATATGACATACGTATGTGAATGGTCGAACTATTTGATAATTTAAATAATGCAGTGTACACAAAAAAGATAATGAATACAAATTAAAACATCAAAACGAAATCATTTTTACAATGAATATATTTTGTCATTTTGAAAGCAATTATCCATATTGTGTGTAGTTACTATTACATTGCTATTACATCGAGATTAATATGCGTGCCTGAAATATTAAAACAGCTGTTTAATCTTGCACACATTTTGACAATTTTCTCACTTCATTCCATTCCCTTACTCAATTATATGTACATTAGTGTCTTGGAATATCGGGCCCTAAAACCGATATTTATAAAACTAATTTGTCAACATAAATATTTGTACAAGTATCACTTGACCCAAACTTGTATTTTCATGAATCAAATATACTGCTGTATAAATATATATAATATTCATAACAATATATAAATATACTGATTTTATGGAACACATAGTATGGTTGTTTATGCATGTCCTCTGGGCATCTATGAAGTAAAACAAATCTTGAAAGGTCGCGAGTTGTATTTCACTGATGCTAGTTTCATCCGTGAACTTCTCCCTGGAGAAATGAAAATAAGACATACCCAGTATGTGCTTCTTATTGTTATTCTGTGGGATATCCTTTAGGTTAACACTACCTACCAGGACAACATGCGTTGTATCGGAATTATAAAAAAACCCAGAGAGATTGCATCAAACATATTGAACAAACATCCTTTAGCTGGCTGTGTGTGAGATGGGAACCCTGAGCATGTGACAATGGCGCATCCAAGGATGTCCCGCAGCTGAGACGTGGTTTATGCAACGCTCCCCGACAGCAAAGTCAATCATTTGGGAGTGAGTGAGTGAGTGAGTGAGTGAGTGAATTTGGTTTAACGCCGCTTTTAACAGTATTCCAGCTATATCGCGGCGTGTCAGCTTATGTGGGAGGGAAGCCCGAAGTGATGCAGGTCTGAGACGTTTACCCCTTCTGTGAAACCCACGAGCACGGGTATGGTGCTGACAAACCTAGAAACATAATCGGGGCGAACCTGGATTCGAACCCACAATCATAGGTTTCTGGGAGGCAACTCTGCACAGCGAGTTGCGGCGCCTTAGACGACTTGGCCACCCGTGCCCCCCGATCATATGGGCAGGGATGTGGGATGAACCAACCAACCTAGATTGTAAACCGACTTTATATATCTTAAGAACGCAGAAGATTAAACTTTAATCGTTTTCTTTTATCATCCGCAGTGGAACATTCATTCATGGACTGAATGATTTTCAAACAGCATGTGATCCCGCTTTACATAATCGACAAGGTGTTCACTCCATTAGACGCTATATATTTCATACGTTGTATTCGTAGTTAATGGGAAACCACCCTCGTTCTATATAAATTAACTGCCCGTGACAAGCAAAGGTCACGGTCATTGCGATAGCATGTAAAAACCTGCTGGTGTTTCAACCGAAATATACGAGACAGGTGTGTTGTTTTGGGAGCCAACGACTGCAACGCGTAACATTTTGTATGGAATGATTGTTATCTTTCATCAGTGGTGTTTGCTACCATCTGCTGTTCGAGTTTTGTAAATTCAAGTTGAAACCACTCGTTTTTGTGGTCAGGGATGATACAACAGGCCCATATTGTAGAATCGCTTTCTTCAACATCCCGTCTTTTGGCCACCATAGTAACTTCGGTAAACTCCGACCCTGACTTAATTTCTGTCGAAAGTTAAGATAAGATAAGCTAAGACAGCTTCGTGAAAAGACCACCTGGGATATTGCGCAAAACAACATTCACTCACAACCGCATGTTGTTCGTTGTTTCTGTTGTTTCCTTGTTTCTTTTGTTTACTTGTTTTATTTTTTCGTTGTTTCTGTTGGATTGTTTCGTTGCTTCTGTTGTTTCGTTGTTTCTGTTGCATTATTCCGTTGTTTCTGTTGTATTGTTTCATTGTTTCTGTAGTTGCATTGTTTCTATTGCTGCATTGTTTCGGTGTTGCTGTTGTTTCCTTGTTTCTTTTGTTTACTTGTTTTATTGTTTCGTTTTTTTCTGTTGCATTGTTTTGTTGTTTCTGTTACATTGTTGCGTTGTTTCTGTTGCATTGTTTCGTTGCTTCGTTGTTTCTGTTGCATTGTTTCGTTGTTTCTGTTGTATTGTTTCATTGTTTCTGTTGTTGCATTGTTTCGTTGTTTCTGTTGTTGCATTGTTTCGTTGTTTCTATTGTTGCATTGTTTCGTTGTTTCTGTTGTTTCGTTGTTTCAGTTGTTTCTGTTGTTTCGTTTCAGTTGTTTCTGCAAGGCTGTCAACAACCACAACTACGGACAAGTCTTTAAAGACTTTGGCTCCATCCAACACTGCCGGCGTCTTGTCCACTGTCCGTGCAGAGCCCGGGAACTCATCACATGTGGCACGGAGTGTGACCGGAAGGTCAAGGAGTGGGCGTGTGACCACGGGTGTGGTGGACTTCCGGCCGGTACAAAGGTCCGGGCATCCTACAAAGCCAGCGTGTGTAACACCGGCACTGCATCAGACGTCTACGTATGTGGCCAACAAAACAACTGTCATCGTGGCTGACTGAACGCGATGATAATGCGTCTGTTATCGCAAAACACGGCTGTTGACGTCTAAAGACTAAGAAATAAAATCCTAACCTGTAAATGTATCGCTTTTCCATTTTTTAAACAGAATGCATTTTAGAAGGGTTGAGATGAAATCACATCGGACAATGGTGATGTCGAGGAAACTATCTTTATTTAACGGGACGTCGGTTCACGTGTGATATTTCAAAAGGGGAAGTCGGTGGTGTCGAACCTACTGATCACTCCAACCATCCACATCCTCATCTGCCTCTCAAATCTAAAACACAAGACCGCCTCCGTGGTCTAGTGGTAGAGCGTCCCCGGCCGCGTAATACCAAAAGACGTTAAAAGATGGTACTTTTTGTTACCCTGTCTGGCCCTCGGCATTAAGGGGCTAAAACAAGGACTGAAGGGCTCGGAGTCAGTGTACTGTGTCTGAGTGGGATATTCATGTTAAACCCACGAGCACGGACATGGTTTCTCAGTCCGGATTAGTACAAGCAGCCACACACACACACACACACACACACACACACACACACATAAACGTCGCTATATAAGTGCAAATATCTTGGACACGACGTTAAACCCCATTTCACCTCACCTCAAAAACACATCTATATCAAACGCACAAGACAAGCAAAGAACTGAACACGATTACTCTTATTCCCGAAATACTGGAAATGTGCCTCAACACGCCAACCACACAAACAGTAACATACGACCCGTGAAGAATAGGACTTCAGCAACCCATTCTTGCAATAAAAGGCGACTGTGCTTGTCGTAAGAGGTGACTTTGAGATCGAATCCATATGACAGTCTGGATCCCATGTTGTGATGCGGCAATGTAACAATCACATTCCACAAGCGAACACCTGGTATCATCACTGTTTGATGGTGATTCATAAACACATACTCATGATATAGTCGGAGGAGTACAACCGGCTCTAAAAATCAGAGGAACAAAGTAAATAACATGAAATGTCACGCTAAAGAACATTTTTACTCAAACCTCGATGAATTGCTATCAGAATTGCATGCAGAAAACAAACCCTCTTACTGGAAAGTTTTACGTTATGTTGTGAAGAACTCTGGCTCAGCTGACAACATAGCCGCTCTTAAACAGTATGACACGGACGAGCACCCGACAATTTTTACTGATATTGAAAAGGCAGAGAAACTGAATAAATATTTTCAATCTATATCTGATGTCCACGATACAAGAACAACTATGCCCGACTTCACATTTCGTACAGAGACAGAGATGAACAACATAATCATATCTAAAAAGGAAATTGAAGACATAATACAATGTTTGCCTCTTAATAAAGCCTCCGGACCGGATAAAATTTGTCATAAATTATTAAAGGAAACTGTATATTCTATAAGCGAAGCATTGTGTTTACTGTTCAATATGTCACTACAATCAAGTATATTTCCATCAGTGTGGAAACAAGCAAACGTAATGCCATTATTTAAGAAAGGTGATCACACTATCGTTTCTAATTATAGACCGATATCACTCATTAGTTGTTTAGGAAAATTGTTTGAGAGAGTTGTGTTCAAACATTTATATAATTACTTTCATGAGAACAAATTGTTGTATAAGTACCAATCTGGGTTTCAGGCTGGTCACTCAACTGTCCATCAACTAATAGAACTTTACCACCAAATTTGTACAGCGTTAGATAACAAAGAAAACTATTGTATTGTATTCTGTGATGTATCAAAAGCTTTTGATCGTGTATGGCACAGTGGGCTTGTGTATAAATTAGAGAGGTATGGTATAAAAGGCCAATTGTTAAAATGGATTAGCAGTTACATAAGTAATCGTAGCCAAAGCGTATTTGTGAATGGGGAAATATCCAAACCAAGATACATGAAGGCTGGCGTGCCACAGGGATCCGTGCTTGGTCCTTTACTCTTTATTGTTTATGTAAATGACATTGCTGAAAAATTAGACTGTATGACAAGACTGTTTGCCGACGATACATCGATTGGCATGTCATCCAATGATAACAGTGTACTGGAACGTTCCTTAAACTCAAATTTAGCAATCTTAAGTAAATGGGCGAAACTTTGGCTCATAACTTACAATCCCGATAAGACCAAATCGGTTCTATTCTCTCGCAAAGACAACAACGGAGGTCTAAAACTATATTTCAACGGAAAAGAAATCAGCTCTGTAAACAGTCATAAGCACTTGGGTGTTATACTTGAAGCCAGTGGCAAATGGTCTTGTCATATAGATACCATAATTAAAACAACTTCCAAGATGATTTACTCAATGAGAAAACTCAAACATCTACTTCACAGAAATACCATTAACAATATATATAAAATGTTCATAAGACCATACTTTGAATACGCATGTGAGGTTTGGGATGGTTGCACCGAAGGACAAAGTGAGAAATTAGAACAATTACAATTAGAAGCTGCACGCATTGTAACTGGTCTACCTAAATATGCCCCCAGGCATTCATTATATTACGAAACCGGTTGGGAACCCTTAGTTGAGCGTAGAAAGAAACGTAAACTTTGTCTTTTCTTCAAAATTAACCATAACATGGCCCCTTCCTATCTAACAGATATTCTACCCAAAACCGTTGCTGCAAAAAACTCATACAGTCTCAGAAACTCTGAAAACATCAGTGTTCCTCTCACAAGACTAAGACATTCGTGTGAATCCTTTTACCCATCGTCTATCCGATTGTGGAACTCTATTCCGTTTTCAGATCGAAATTCTACGATTTCTTGTTTTAAAAATTCGCTACAAAAGCACAACCCCACGTCACCTGCGTACTTCGCTTATGGAAAAAGAAAATATAATATCTTACACACAAAACTGAGATACATGTGCAGTCAGTTGAACTATGATTTATATAGAATTGGTATAAAAGATCACCCGAACTGTACATGTTCGAATACATGTGAAAATGCATATCATTATCTCATCGAATGTCCATTGTTTAGTCATCAGCGTGAAATTATGTTAAACAGCCTTAAAAATATTGTTCATAACATACCTATTGATGTACACTTACTGTTACACGGCAATGCAGATCACGTTGTTACAGAAAATGAAGCTATATTTAAGGCAGTACAACATTATATATGTACAACTAAAAGATTCGTGTAAAGAACTGTTCATTCAATAATGTTACTCTCTCTCTCTCTCTCTCTCTCTCTCTCTCTCTCTCTCTCTCCCTCTCTCTCTCTCTCTCTCTCATCTATAGTGTTTTATGTTTTATGCATATATATTGAATTTGAAATTGTGAATATTTTGTAAATACCAGGGAGAGGGCATTCTAAGTTGGAAGAACTTGTCCCCCAATCCCGTTCACTCCTTGTGAATAAATATGTTTAAATCAAATAAAATCACCGGCTCTGCTTTCAGCGGAGATTTCGTATGGATATGGAAAGAGCTTTGTCGCGTTTGTTTACCGATAAGGTTTCACATATGTAACAAAAGTCTTTATCATGTAGTTCAAAGCCGTATTGTTCATACGTTAACATTGGTTGTGTTGCTTCACACAGTGAAGGAATAATTGTATCTCTAAGATTAACATACTTGGAAACCAATAATGTTAATGCAATCGTTTCAAAATGTGTAAGACCCGTGAAGATCTTGGGTAGAATAGGTCTCCAGACTCGATTATTTACAAACCGGCGTCATATAGCTGGAATATTGCTGAGTGCGGCGTAAAACAACAATCAAACAAACAAACAAATAACCATTATAACTCCCAGTCACAGTCATCATGTAAAGTGTCAGTTACTCTCTAACAAGGTTATAAAATTATAACGACCAGACACGGTCAACATGTAAATAAAAGCGACAAAACCCTTTCCATATTCATAAGCAGAGTCGATTGTACGATTCCGACTATTTCATGATCATGTGCTTGTGAACTATTATGTAATAGAGACGATGTCAGGTGTTCGCGAAAAGATGGGCACATCCTCCCCCATCCGTGGCACCAATCACAAACACATGCAAAGACAAATCAATTGTTCACCTGAAAAAACTACGGGAACATGTTAAATAGGGAAATGCACCGGCTATAAGATTGGTCACTGATGAGTCAAATTTAGAAATGTCCTCCACATGTCTACCATAAAACCTTTTGAAAGCTTTACTGAGGCCTTAGATGTTGTAACCATGATCAGACAACATCTGAGCAAGTCGTTTGACTCTCTTTGTAATATGATAAAAAGAGCATGCTCCATTATACTTCAGACTTCGCCGTGTCAAAGTTATTCTTGGGACAAGGCCGATAGCTAATTTTCTTCATCAACAATCCCATTGATATCATCCTTGCACGGTTTGTTTTGAGATACGCGGTGAACAGCTGCCTATATCTTGTTAGTATGATCAACACTGAATGTGTCTCAAAAACTCCCTGTATGTCGAGTGTCAACCTGTGCCAAGTGTCTGTGTCACCCATGATGCCATCCACATGACGCGTCATCTGCAAGTTTACACTACCTTCCTCGCCAGTGACTGATAGTTGGATAAACAAGGCATTGTGGACGTTCGAGAGACGGGCAGGTGTGATCCTCGCTTAACGCCGCACCCAGCAAAACCTACGGTGGCCAATAAGGGACATGGAGTCTGTTTTTCAATTATTTTATGTTTCACTTACTTTTATCGTAACCTTTAGCAAATTAACACAATTTGTCATACAAATATGTAATAAATCATGTTTAAAAACAACCGAAAACATGGAAAATGTGCTTTCAAGTAGCTATTGAGTCGCGGAAATGTGAAGCGAAAATGTCAAAAACTAAAATGGAAATGTCAAAAACAAAAACGAAAATGTCAAAAACCAAAACGAAAATGTCAAAAACTAAAATGAAACCACAGAAAACTATTTCCACCGTGGTGGAAATATTATCATCGCGGTGGAAATATTATCACCGCGGTGGAAATAGTTTTCTGTATGTTCATTTTAGTTTTTGACATTTTCATTTTAGTTTTTGACATTTTCGTTTCACTTTTCTGCGATTCAATATCTTCTTTACACATGATTTATCACATATTTGTAAGACAAATAGTGTTAATTTGCAAAAGGTAACGACAAAAGTAAGTGAAATATCAAAATTTGGAAAAACAGACTCCATGTCCCTTATGGGCCACCGTAAAAACCAGTGATGCTGCAGAATAAATCAGCCGTACGTAAACTAAGGAACAATGGAAACTACAACTCTCAGTTGATTTGCTCATGTTTGTTTTAATTTGAAGATATCTTAAGTTAGCAATATTAGTGAGTGAGTGAGTGAGTGAGTGAGTTGGGTTTGACGCCGCTTTTAGCATTATTACAGTCATATCCCAGCGTGTCAGCTTTATGTGGGAGGAAAGCCCGAAGTGATGCAAGTCTCAGACGTTTACCACTTCGGTGAAGCCCAAGAGCACGGGTATGGTGCTGACAAACCTAGAAACAAGTTAGCGATATTAAATCCAAGATATGAACTGCACTGACGCTTAGTCAGCACTCAAAGAATACTTCTACATGGTTTGTTTTATTCTTTAAATTATAATTTGATTTATATATTTGAATAATTATCCTTTCTTAGACATCTTATCTTTGTGCTTCTTTCGGCACAAATTTACAACATTTCAAACAAGGTAGGGGTCCCCAGCCTTCATTGAACCAACTCATTTTAGACAAAACTACCCAGTCACAGATTGTTTTTTTCTAACTGTTGCAGGAATGGGTAATGGTTCAATAGACATAATCAAATTTACCAACAGTTCTTTCATTTTTCAATTACATAAAAAACAAACTCGGTATACTTTCTTTTTCCCCTCAGTATACCATTCAGTCCACAGTGCTTTCATCCTCGCGTGTCGGTTTCCCCGCTTCTCTGTCAGAGTCCACTTTTCCATTGACTATCAACAAAATGTTATTTTTACAAATATTCAAATTAAATATTTAAAGTTTTATACCATGATTCGTGCCTCTATTTACTCGTGTTAGAGGTATATCATTTTGCGATTGTTCTATATCTTTAGAATATACGCACAAGTCCTGTGGTATGACGTCAGCACCATGTATGTCATCAGCGGCGTCATCCACAACATCAAATACTACACCAGTTCCTGCTTTAAACTATTTGATATTTCACTATCAATTAAATCAATTGTTTCTTCTCTAAAACAGGGAGCGTTTTAAGGTGGAAAGGAAATATAATCTAAGCCACAAAGACAAAAACGGTACACCCATTTTAGCAAATTATAAAACAGCATAATAGAGTAACAATAGCAATATCATGATAATATATTTTAATATAGGCACACAGATGAACCACTCGTGTAATATGCCGCTACTCTCCGTGGAGAGTTACGTCCCTTGGCCGTGCCAGGCGCCTATGATATAGGGACGAACACAGATTCGACCCGATTATTGTTTGTCAGCAGCAAACCCGCTCCACCAAAGGGAAGGGCAATAAGTGATAATGTTAATTATTACTTCATGTCGGAAATTATACATAGTCTCATCTGATACATCTCCAGCTGACGCCTACAGGGAAGAAGTTGTGGTAGGCTTCAGCTTTCACTCACACTGTCCTTGTATCCATTTCAGGAAATATTGCGGGTTTGAGTGTAACTGATTTTGACCGTGATTGTTACTGTGCCAAATGACAACTAATGACCAACATTTTACATTTCCCCCACCCCCACTGCCCGTCACAACCCGCCTGTCACACTACACCTACATCGGACCCCACCAATAACACCCCCCCAAAAAAAAACACACACACACACACATACACACACACACACACACACACACACACACCACATAATCCATTCCTATCCAGCTCTCGCCAACTACCACAATCCACCCCAGCCTATCTCTCCCACCCCACACCTCGTCCATCCCTCCAAGCCTCACCCACAAACACCCACCCACCCGCCAACGCCCCATCCCCTTCCAACAGTACACCCAATGCGCCCCTCCCCATTCAAGCATGTTTTCATGATAATAACATCAAATAAATAGCCTGTGAACATATACACAAGGAAATGGTTCAAGTGTGTTTTCCCTGTTTCAGATTTCGAACAATAGGTTCTGTATAATTGTGGGTGATTCGACTTAATACTTTATCAGCGCTAGACGTGATTGACCTACCTCTCCATCCAACAGATGAAGGCTATGGCAAACACGACAGTGTTGCATATACTACTACTTGTGACTTGTTGGAGATACTTGGTCCTTTGTGAGTATGTCTTATGTTGTCGTGCGTTATGCATTCGTGTAATATCTTGTAATCGTATATGATGTATTTCGTTCCTTGGAATAATCAAGAATAGAAATTGGAAATATTGTGAAAATGTAAAGCATTTTTTACCTCGAAATGAGATTCTGAGTAGTGCCAGTTGCTACACATGAGTAAAACGCTTCTTGCATTGATATTCATATAGAACTGTCTGGTTTTATTGCTATTCATATAGAGCTGTCTGGTTTTATTGCTATTCATATAGAGCTGTCTGGTTTTATTGATAATCATATAGAACTGTCTGGTTTTATTGCTATTCATATAGAGCTGTCTGGTTTTATTGATATTCATATAGAGCTGTCTGGTTTTATTGATATTCATATAGAGCTGTCTGGTTTTATTGATATTCATATAGAGCTGTCTGGTTTTTATTGATATTCATATAGAGCTGTCTGTACATATTCAATTAAGGATCAGGTTCACAACACAGATTGGCAGGCTTCAGTATGTCACCTTGCTTATTGCTGGACATCGTGTCGCAATGACGTGAATCGCTTACTGTGTTCCCTGGCCAAACCTCGATGCCCTAAAAGCCGCCCTATTACAGACATACACGAATGTCCAATAATTTGAAATCGGAACCCACGATCATAGCATTCTGGCAGGGATGCCACTCAGGGACGCTACTCTGTGAATCAGATTTTAAAGCCTTGTGAATAAATTAATATTCATTGTGTAACTCAGTCCGTTAAATTCCAGCTGTTTGAATATCCAGGGGAATCTGCCTTCATTACATTATGATAAATACCCCGGACAAATTCGCCACCATATCATAAGGGAGATATAATGCCCTAGATACGCGAGGATGTCATTAGCTGGAAGGTCACCGACTGTGGTTTTTCGCAATAAATATGAACTTATTTTCACGACTAGTTGTCAAACGCTTTGAAATGTATATTTCCTTTATGAGATATCAACATCGTGTACATCCCGTATAAGGATGATGATAAAATGTACAAGCTTCACAAAATATTTACCCGTATTCAAATAATGATGAGTCCCTCAATAAAATCCGACCTCGGCAATGTCGGACAAGTTCATTTGTTGCACAGGTGGGTAGTTCCCGCATAATCTCACAATCCTCACGTCAATTACCTGTACCTTTTCTCCCAGTATCAATTGACATATCTCTCACGCTATTGGATGCGATCGTTCGACCATCCCGTTTATCTGCGTTACCCAGCTTCATCTATTGGAAACAACTCACCAGACACTCCCCTCTCAAACAAAACGTCGTCATATATACGACATCGTCAAGTTGCGAGCGCATGTTCGAATCTCTAGAAATGACGTCATGATAGAACAATGTTTTATGGGGAAATGAGCCACAAATCACGCTTCGTTAGTCATTCATCTTTGCTATTATGGGATTTATGTTATAACTTCTATTACCGTAATGAATGGTCGTATTTGTTAAATTATCTTCTTTCAGTGGCATTTAGAAGTTGGTGTGATTAAGTAAGACACGTTCTATGGATGAACAACTTCTTTATTACAATTAGTGCGACGTTTCGGTGTAGATCCTAAAACCTTTATCAAGCACGTTTCGGTGTAGATCCTAACACCTTTATCACGCAAAGCTTGATAAAGATGTTAGGATCTACACAGAAACGTCGCACTAATTGTAATAAAGAAGTTGTTCATCCATAGAACGTGTCTTACTTTGTTAAATTAGTTATGCATCATGCAGGGAAAGCAGAGTGTAGTTTCAAACTGACAAAAGCAGCATAAATC